CACGGATGCCGCTACTGTCCCGTTCTATTGGGCCTGCGTTTCTCCAGCGAATCGCCCCCATTGCATCGGTCTCCCTATTCGTCCGCCTCCGTTTTAATGATCTAACCATCCTTTGGGCAGACGCTGCCTTCCGCTTTCCTACATTATGTCGCCGGCTCCATTTATATTGGTTTAAGCTTGTTTGCTACGTCCATCTTGTCTGGCATTATCTCCAGCCACGTCGCTGACTTTCTGCGTGGATTGTACGATTGACTCGGTTGGTCACTCGTCTATCTCGTCACATGTTCCTTCTCTTGGCTCGGTCCCACAGCAAACCTTGACTCAGGTGCGTAGTCTTTTCGGGGCCTAACAACCAATCCGCTCCTCACGGGACAGACTCCTTCGCAAGGCTGAATTGTTCCCGTGCGTTTGGGACCTGCAGACTCAGTGGATGGTTTTCCAATAGACGGGCTGTCATAGAGTTCTAGGTGGGCGCGCACAGACCACTCACTGATCGGGCGACCAATCCACTTCAGATGATATGCTCACTTCCCTTCAGGTTAACTTGCATTAGTTCGGCACTCTGTGAGATGCTGCGTGGCATTCGATTGGCCATCTGCTTACCGGTGTCCTAGCATTTCTACTCTCCGTGGGTTCCAGCGGCCATCACACCCATCGGTGTGCATCTGTAAGTGAATCGTCTCTGACGCGGCCCTATTCCTCTGCCGGTATGCCTTTTGTCATATGTACTGGGATCGACATACATCCCGTTTGTGCTTCTTAGAGTTCTCATTAACGTTCTGTTGTCCTTTGGTAGCGTAGGTAAAAGGTGCACGGTTTTAATAGGAAAAAAATCTATTAGTCTATCTTAATTTGAGAGTTGGTCACAAGAGACTGATATAAAAGACTGGGTGATGCTGCTCTTCCAACTTCTTAATCATCTTTAAGGTGGATGCTCAACCTTCAGTTTGACCATCGTTTAGGGATGTCGGGACTAAGTGGGTTGGCATGCTCACTCTTTGAAGTCTTCTGCCGGCAGTGACCGCCTTTTAATGTCTGCGCTCATTTACATTCTGCTCGAGGGACCTGCAGCGTCAGTTGAAACATCTGTCACTACTTCGCTGGGGTTCTCAGACAGGGCTGTTTGCATGTCAACAATTGTTCTTAGAATCTCATCTGCGCCCTCTAATGCGATTTTCTCTGTTGTATCATCATCCTCATTGGTGAAACAATCAAACCAGGATCTCTAGTATTAAGAATGAACTCGACCAAATTAGGTTACCCAGCACACTCCCACTACATGGCACTATGTGATCCTGGTAAGACATTGAGAATGCGTCGAAAGACTTTGTCAAGCCTCTTAACTTCAGATGGTCGTTTAGCCGAAGCTTGTTAGGTGTTGTTAAAAGGTTGGAAGGTTGATTAATTAGCAACGTCTCTCATGATGATGAGACAGTACTAGGTGAGATCAGCATTTTCACGGGATCGTCCAGGCATTCCTTTGTACATCATGTAGAGATACTGCATTGTCTTGGATATGAGTTCAATGACCACATTTCCTTGGGATCATCATCATCATACTACACTTTAGCTGAGGTGTTCTCCACCTCCAGCTAAAGTGTAGTATGATGATGATGATGATCCCAAGGAAATGTGGTCATTGAACTCATATCCAAGGCAATGCAGTATCTCTACATGATGTACAAAGGAATGCCTGGACGATCCCGTGAAAATGCTGATCTCACCTAGTACTGTCTCATCATCATGAGAGACGTTGCTAATTAATCAACCTTCCAACCTTTTAACAACACCTAACAAGCTTCGGCTAAACGACCATCTGAAGTTAAGAGGCTTGAGAAAGTCTTTCGACGCATTCTCAATGTCTTACCAGGATCACATAGTGCCATGTAGTGGGAGTGTGCTGGGTAACCTAATTTGGTCGAGTTCATTCTTAATACTAGAGATCCTGGTTTGATTGTTTCACCAATGAGGATGATGATACAACAGAGAAAATCGCATTAGAGGGCGCAGATGAGATTCTAAGAACAATTGTTGACATGCAAACAGCCCTGTCTGAGAACCCCAGCGAAGTAGTGACAGATGTTTCAACTGACGCTGCAGGTCCCTCGAGCAGAATGTAAATGAGCGCAGACATTAAAAGGCGGTCACTGCCGGCAGAAGACTTCAAAGAGTGAGCATGCCAACCCACTTAGTCCCGACATCCCTAAACGATGGTCAAACTGAAGGTTGAGCATCCACCTTAAAGATGATTAAGAAGTTGGAAGAGCAGCATCACCCAGTCTTTTATATCAGTCTCTTGTGACCAACTCTCAAATTAAGATAGACTAATAGATTTTTTTCCTATTAAAACCGTGCACCTTTTACCTACGCTACCAAAGGACAACAGAACGTTAATGAGAACTCTAAGAAGCACAAACGGGATGTATGTCGATCCCAGTACATATGACAAAAGGCATACCGGCAGAGGAATAGGGCCGCGTCAGAGACGATTCACTTACAGATGCACACCGATGGGTGTGATGGCCGCTGGAACCCACGGAGAGTAGAAATGCTAGGACACCGGTAAGCAGATGGCCAATCGAATGCCACGCAGCATCTCACAGAGTGCCGAACTAATGCAAGTTAACCTGAAGGGAAGTGAGCATATCATCTGAAGTGGATTGGTCGCCCGATCAGTGAGTGGTCTGTGCGCGCCCACCTAGAACTCTATGACAGCCCGTCTATTGGAAAACCATCCACTGAGTCTGCAGGTCCCAAACGCACGGGAACAATTCAGCCTTGCGAAGGAGTCTGTCCCGTGAGGAGCGGATTGGTTGTTAGGCCCCGAAAAGACTACGCACCTGAGTCAAGGTTTGCTGTGGGACCGAGCCAAGAGAAGGAACATGTGACGAGATAGACGAGTGACCAACCGAGTCAATCGTACAATCCACGCAGAAAGTCAGCGACGTGGCTGGAGATAATGTCAGACAAGATGGACGTAGCGAACAAGCTTAAACCAATATAAATGGAGCCGGCGACATAATGTAGGAAAGCGGAAGGCAGCGTTTGCCCAAAGGACGGTTAGATCATTAAAACGGAGGCGGACGAATAGGGAGACCGATGCAATGGGGGCGATTCGCTGGAGAAACCCAGGCCCAATAGAACGGGACAGTAGCGGCATCCGTGGGTGAGCCCGAGGCAGGCAAAGCAGGTGGAGAATTTGTTGAAGACGCAATAAATCGGACAAAACCGCCGGTATCGCATCTTCAAGAAACAACCCAGGGGAGAGTGATACACCCGCGGTCAAGCAGAGCGCACGCTATCGAACGACTCCGGGCTTGTCAGAATCGGAGGCGTGGAAGCGAAGATACACGGGCGAAACGGACATAGAAGATGCGTTCCCGTACCCCCAGAAGGAGCATAGAAGTGCCACGAGCGGATGCCAGGAGGGATGGTGCAACGTGGGAAAGAAACCTGACTCATTAATGTGCGCCTGTGTGAGTGGTGAGGTAGTGTGTGTGTGTTCGTGCCAATAAAGATCGTGCCTCATTGTCGCGTTGTTCTGTGGCTACACTGGTGCCGTGACCAATCAGCATGAAGCTTCAGTGGCCAACGCCGTTCGCAGAGGGAGATGTGGAATCGTGGTTGGAGGAATTTGAGGCCATTGCGGCGTGCAACGGGATCAAAGGAGATGCCAATTTGTTGACCGCTTTGGGCACGATGCTGATGGGGAGAGCAAAGGCGACCTACCAGCTAACGAGGAAGCCCAAGACTGACTGCCTATTTGCCGAGATGAAGGCTGCTCTGTGTGCGGAATTCGATAAGGAGAGCGATCGGCAACATGCGCTCGAGCAGTTCCACTCAACCAATTGGGAAGAGCAAGATTTGGTGGTGTTCTCTCAGCGGCTTAAGAGACACATGGAGGTGGCGCTCCCTGAGTTGGATGGCGGCGCGAGAGATCGACTACTGAGAGGCCAATTCGTCCGAAGTCTGCCCAAACACATTCAGGACAAAGTGAAATTGGCATCCATGATTGGGGTCAGTACGGCAGAAAACCTTGTGGCTGTGTCGCAGAGTTTTGTAGGGCCCGTGGAGATGGGGAGAACCGAACCGTCCGCGTTGGAACGCAAAATAGACCAGCTTTCGCGCATGGTTGAGGTTGGTGAGCGAAACTTCGAGAACCGAGACACAACGCAACGCGCCTGGAAGACGAGATAGCCCGAGCTGCTTCCGATGCAACCAGCTGGGTCATTACGCTACATATTGTACAAAAAGAAATTTTTACCGTTGTTTTTCTTTATCTATGTCGGGTCGGTGGCGGTTACCATCCCTAGAAATAACAATTGAGGGTGTCGTAGTTAATGCGATAATAGATACAGGAGCCGGCGCTTCCATTACGAAAAGGTTCGAGTGTGTCCCGTTACTCCAGTCGTCAATCGCAATGCAAACAGTCGGAGGACACTGCTTGAAGGTTATTGGGGCTCAGCGATTACGAGTGAGAATCGGAAAAACGGTCATTAGTGCTACATATTCGTCGTTGAGGGGGCAACGGAGACAATCATCGGTAACGACATCCTTAAGCGGTTAAGTGCAAGCACTGATTTGAGGAAGAATGTTGTGATAGTGGGCAGTGAGACGATCGAGATGAGCCTAGGGAAACGCCACCACATAGGTGCCGTGACGGTTTTTCCCGAGTGCCCGAACCGTGCAATAAGGGACGTGCTTCAGAAGCATGCATATTTGTTCACAGATGTGAATGATGATTACGGATTTTGTAGCTGGGTAGAACATCGGATACCACTAATCCCGCGTGGGCAGTGCAAGCCGATTTTCAGGCGGATACCGCAGAACATTCTGGCGGTGATACAGAAACAGGTGACTGAAATGGAGGCCAAAGGCATCATCAGACGAACAAACAGTCCGTATTGTTGACGAGAAAGGCAGACGGAAGCTACAGATTCTGCATCGTTTTCAAGGAGCTGAATAGAGTCACGGTGAAAGACACTTTTTCAACGCCCCAAATGGAAGAAATTTTGTCCAATCTTCACAATGCCAAGCTGATTTCATTGATAGACCTATGTTCGGGTTATTGGCAACATCCCATTGCAGAGGAAGACAGGTATAAAACAGCTTTCAGCGTAAATGGCCGACAGTACGAATTCCTGAGAATGCCGTTTGGACTGTGCAAAGCCCCGGCAACATTCAGGCGCTTACTATTTATGGTCCTGGAGAACCTGAAAAATGTGGTTGTTTATGGGGATGACATCATTATCTTCTCGGAGACGGAAAATGATCATGGTGCCCGACTCGCAGCGGTGTTACAAAGACTGGAGGAAGCCGGCTTGAAGCTCAGTCGCAAAAAGTCACAGATTGCTCAAAAGTCGATTGTGTGTTTGGGCCACATTGTCGGGAATGGCCAGGTTCAGCCGTTTCCAGAGAAACACGAAGCAACCCAGAATTTCGCTTCCCCGAAATCGAAGCGTCAGCTCCGGTCGTTCCTCGGTATGGTAACGTATGACTCGAGGTATGTGCCCCATTTTGCGGAGAGGATAAGCCCCTTGTAAAAGGATTTTCGATGCCGTGTTCAACTCCGCCATCCGCCAACCCTCGAGTGTGGACTACGAACGCAATTAGCGCCCCCCCAATTATCTTCGTCACTACCACGGCAACTATCACCCCAATTATCTTTGCCATTAACACCCCAACTATCACCCCAATGATTTTTGCCATTATCCTCGCAATTAT